TCCCGTACTTCAAGGGGACGAGATATAGAGACGAGACGAGATTCCCCCCTGACAAGTGTGGAGAACCCCAGAGAGGAGAATTTTCCCGTGATAGTAATAGCGAAGGATTTTATGATGTTGTTTGTACTTTATAATTTGCAGTAAGTTGCACGTTTCCAATTTGCAAACGGTGTGCGAATATATATTGAAATTTATCATGTTTGATCGTAGAATCTTCTATGTCCGTCCACGCAATCAAAATCATTAAGAATTGGAATTAAAGTAATATCGAGGGTTTTGATGGTTTTGTATTAAGTTTATATTTTGTGGTAATTTGTTCTTATCCTGCAAAAGCAGACCTGCTCTGTAACAGTGTTATAGTGTATTCAATCACAAGCTGATAGTACCTTACAAATCAACACTTAAACATCTAGTCACTCTGGGTCCACATTTATTCGACACTGGCTGGAGCTATCATCTATGGATTGGTGATTGTCATGATTGGTTTTCATTTTTTCATTTCATTGCACACCTTTGATAGCATTCCTTGTCAGCATTTACAAGAAACGGTCTGCGTTTTCTAGTTTTTTATTCTTCTAAACACTGCTAATTTTAATAGACTGTTTCTTTGGTGAAAACTGCTCGTATTTACCTGAGCGCCAACATTTTTAATGAGTCTGTCCCCTCATTATCCGAGTGCAGAGTACAACTTTCTCCTCACTAATTAAAAATATGTTATTTTTTGAGTAGCAGCATCCTGGAATCGAAGCAATGTTTTTTTCCAGATAGAGATAGTGCCAAAACTACATTATGGTCACTGAATATACTAGTTACGTTGTAGTAGTTTACACACAGGAGTTTTGTTTCTCTGATAATTGTGTGTGTATTGACTTTTGCAGTAATGTATTTGCAGGTTACCATGGAAGTAATTTTATGACGTTTCTTCGAATACAATAAACCAGACTAGAGACACCGAAATTAATATAACGTTATTATAGTACTATTTATAATTCATGGAACGTTTATCACTATGTGGTCATTGATCTGTCTGAAATAACTGATATGCGTGTCTACAGTGTTTTTTTAATGATCACAGACACAATAAAGTATGATAATACAGCATTTCAATTACATCAACATATGGCACACATGCTCATTTTGAAGACAAGAGTGGATTGATGAATATACAATGAATGTAACGAATTTGGGAGTATTTAATCAAAATGGAAATCCTAAAATGTATGACAGCATAGTCGTTGTCAAAAGAGCGCAATGACAAATACTGTTCGTAGGTAAGGGATATTTAAACCACAATCTGATATTCAACAACGTTAATAAAGTATAAATAATTAGACTTTCAGATAATGGATGCAATTTCAGGGTCAAAGGTCTGAACTTATTGCAAAATATACTACCAAGATTTATATTCTGAAAATAATTTCGATTTACAGACAGCAGAATGGTTCTTTGATAATGTTAATTTTGATCACAAAATATCCGTAAGACATTTAAAAGAAATAAACACCGGATAATGATGGCAATTGACAATTGAGTCTTATATTAAATTCTTGCATCTTCTCGGTAATTTATCAGTGCAAGTGATCAATATTGCATTTAGGAAAGGCAGTATGAGTACTAACCAAATACTCAGCGTAGTCACTCTCACGAAGAACGGGTTCAAAATTGAAGAATTGGCAGCAACATACTGTCCGAATAATTCTCAGAACGGCTGTAAATGTTCAAAAGTTTGGTTCATTTCTCATCAACTTAAGCAAAAAGTGGCAGTACGGCAAAACAATGCAAATAAAGTTAACTGGAAAGAATAATGATTTGGTGAACTTAATATTTGTTATATTCCTTGTTTTAGTGTGTATCTATTTCACTTTGTCATCACAATATGTTACCCCCCCCATACCTAACGAAGCCAACAAAATGACTGTCTCAAATATTGAGCACATATATTATTTTTTAATAATAATGAACTTTAAATAACAAAATATTGTTTTTTGAAGGAAAAACAATTAATATTGTTAATAGAGGGTCAAGGGGATAGCTGGTACAGGTTACAGGAAATAAAAAGGGCATTTTACGTTTTTACAGGAAATAAAATGAAAGTTCTATTTACAGTAAAAAATAGGTTTTTACACTTTAGAAATAAAGCAAATTCCTAATTACATTTTACATTTGCATAATATATTTGATAATTTGTGTTTAAGAATCAAATTTGGAAATTACGTACGAATAAGATCTTTGTACAAGTTACGGAAGAATAAATTAGTTGATTACGTTTTACATCTTGCCCATATGTACGAATTTACGTTTTTTTATTATTAAAATTACATTCTTACGAAAATGAAAACAATATGCAATATGTCACAGAATACGAAATTATCCCTTGTCAGCCCTTTTAATAGAATATATTATCTTGGTTTAATTATTAGTGCTAAGTGTAGGTTTAAAAAATAGCAGGGATATGCAAATTGGTCCCTCTAATAAGTTAAGGACATACCTAATGTTTAAGAACAAGTTTTTATTATTATTATTGATAAGGAAAAATCTTGGTCCATGACGTGTGGTCAGCAACACGATTGAAATTGAACAACACCTACATGTGTTCTCGACACTTTTTTGGTCGAGTGCGTCTTATCGAGCAGCAGCCACTACGGACCAGGTAACATATTTTGTACTCCACTGTTTTCATTTTGAACGATCGTTTACCCCGAACGATCGAGTACCACTTTGCCTGGTACTATGCTTATAAAATGACCCTCTTTTTTTGTTGATGTGTAATTTATAGATAGAAAAAAGTGTAACTTACGTAAGGATTGAAATGAACCCAAAGCTATTTATCAAACAATATACCGTTATTTAACCATTTATTTTCAAACCAAAGATTGTGGTCATGGGTGGAGTAGAAAAGGGTTGTGAAATTAAATGATATATTGTAATGCATGTGTAAAGTTTTTAATAATAAATTTGTTATAGATTTAAACTATTAGAATAATATTTCTTCATTGTTGTCATAGACATGCAAATAATTTCAGTTTAAAAACTACAATTCCCATGGAGTGTATAAAACACAAGTTAAATAAATTATTTCCATGAGGTTCAAAAGTGTCTTGCACACACACTGTAACATTTTATATGAGGTCAAATTCTTTTTTATATTTGTATGGTCTCTTATGTGATGCGGGTTGCAGCACTTATTGGAACAAAATTATGAAAGATGTATGAACGTAATCATGATGCTGTAAACGTTGTGTTGTGTTACTTTAAAAATAGAAATGCTTTATGATTGACTGGGGTTCCTTGCGTTTTTTCTTCTCGTGTTGTCTGCTAAAAATGTATTCCACAATGAATGTTGTAAAAGTAAAAGTTGTACCTTACATTAAGTATTGATATATTTATACTGCACTTTACCATATGTCTACCCGGATATTTCTAGGATCATTTATCATTACTTCGTGTTTAATATACCTTAAAGATAGTTTATTAGATAATTTCATCTCTGCCCTACCGTTAGCATCCGCGAAGCCGTACTTCAAGGCTCAGACAATCAATACAATATTACAACGCATACTGCCTGTGCCTGAGTGTACGCACTGCGATATTCTTGTGCAAACATTGTTATTAGAGACTGGACAGAAAGTACAGAGGGGGTAAGCCAGTGATTTTTGAAAGTCGCGTACATAAAAATATATGACCATGCCCAAACATTTGTATGAGATTTGCTGACCACCCCCCCCCCCCTTGAATGGTGCATGACAAATTTAAACTGCAAGTTAAAATGGGTGCTGTTGTGCAAAAAGTTTCTTTGCTACAAAATGAAAAGCTTTCCCGCCACATCTAACACGAGACTTATTGTAATCGAAAAAACGAAACGAAATGGGATAACACAGATAATGTAAATTAAACTGTAATCAGTGAAAATGGGTTTTATATGCACAATATTTACAAAATATTTGCCGAAAATAATAATATTTAATACGTATATAGCTCGTTTCGCTAATTAAAGATAATCAAAAATCTGTTTCATATTCACAATCATGTCAATAGTTCTCATCTTTCTTCAACTAACAACAAATGACACCGACAGAAGTTGCATACACAGTAACTTGTTTGAGTTAATCACACTTCACTTGAGTGCAAAAACGGCATGCTAGGGGTAGGATATTCTCAATATATGTCTAAAATAGGGGTGTTTTTTCTTCAATATGTCTGCTCTAGGGGGTACTAAATTTACATTGCGTTCGCAATAAGGGGTATGGTTTGCAAATGTGCTGCCACCCCTAGGGGCCTCATTGACACGCAGATCGCCACAATATAATAGCGCCACCTGTGTTGACAGAATGCTAGGGGCCAATTATTGTTTAGCAAGAACGCACATGGTGTAAGGTTTTAATATACAGTGACGCCCCGGGCACTTGATTTGGATATTATAAATACTACTGTATTGTTTCAATTTACTAACATTCACACATCTATCTCCCCAGAAATGCTGTATTGTTACAACTACTTTTAAACAAATTATAAATATATCATACCAACACCAAGCATTTTTTTCATAATCTCAGAATCAAGTCTGACATTATCATTATTATTGAAAGCAGCAATGAATCAAAATGAGACCACATACTGTTTTATCTTATGCTATGTCGCAATAATTATCAGTCCAGACATAACATTTTGCAGCACACCATTTCTGTTTTGTCTGGTGTCGCTAATTTAATATCGTTACACATGTAATTAATATAAATATGGAATGTAATAAACAGTTTTAATAGCTTGATTGATAAAAGAAGCAGAATTACTCACCAGGCACATTTATATGTGAAAGTATTACTACAATGGCATCTCCCCAGGTTGTCAATACGTTTTTGGCAAATGAGTTTTAAAGATGTTCTGATATATATTGTGTATTATAATTATGTCATTATGACATAATGTGAACATGATTTATATTTCATTTCCTCGTTATTGATATTTGGTTCGTTGTACTAAATGTAATTTTATTTTCCTAGGTCGATAATAGTCAAATCGTGGTTGCAGTTTCTTCGCGAGCTCTGTTTGACTTATCAGCTGAATATGAAATATACAACACTTACGGCATTGATGCTTACACAAGTTACCAATCCAAACATGTGACCGAACCGTGTAAGCCAGGCGCAGCATTTTCTTTTATCCAGGTGAGACTATAATGTTATTTATTTTACCCAATCCAACAATCAATATGTAATTCACCTATGTCTCGTACCTAATTAGTGCAGCCAAGATATAATGAAATAACTGCAGATACAATAAGTCAGCGATTCATATAAGTGCGACAGGAGCGTACACTGTTTATAGTTTACGAAAAGAAAACTATGATTCGCCATTACAGACTTGATACTATCTGAATCTAGCGCATTGGGGATTATATAGCAGTATATAGTGCATAGCTATGAGATCGATGATTTTGTTCTGTATATAAACATAGCAACTTTGCAATGTTTCTAGGGAGGTTGGTAAGAAGATTTTCATTTCCGTTCTGTTTTCCTGATCTGTTTATTCTAAGCGCCCATTGTAAAGGTTTAATTTCTCAATATATATTGAATTTGGATAGATATTAATTATGTTACGTTATATCGTCGATGCACTTTCTATACAAAATTATTGATATATACATTTCGAGGATAAAAAACTGTTGGATTTATTTCCGTAGAGCAAAATTATAATTTTGCCAATTTCTATTAAACCACAGATTGCATTATTAAAAGCACGCTCTCGCCCAATTAGAACGCCTTATTTTAATGCTGGAATAATATAATTTGCAGTGCCTGTACGTTTGATTGTGTTTGTTTGATTTTGAAATACAAGCAATACAATGTATCTCCACATATTGATCCATAAGTATAGTGGCAACGCGAAGCAATTGGTCAGCGCAAAAATAAATCCCGAACATGGTCGAACGAAAAAAATCATAGTTATAGAAATCAAACTCAATTGTGATAACCTGAATATTACGTTATATAACGTTTTTACATGGATTTTAACTAATCTATGTATGCACTTTGACGCATTTCAATTATTATTAATTGATCATGAGTAGTCATAATTAAGGGTTTTATATATAACGAATAGCAAAAAACATACACAGTATTCCTATTATTTTATTTGTTCAATCTTTGGAATATATTAATTGCAAGCTAGATGAAGTACGTCCAGAAGGAGGGATACGATTTGTTTTAGTCTCAGTGTCAACCATTAATGGAGATACGTACCCTGCGATATATCAACTCAATTGAACACTACGGTAAGTTTTTAGTTTATACATCATAAAAATATTCAGTGTTTACTAATGTTTATGTTTTCAGTAATTTAGGAAAATCAATTGATCCATGAATCAAAAACCAATTAATTCATTCTTTGAACTGATGTTGAAAAGACAATACGTAATAAATATGCGAGAATATGATACTGACAAAAAAAAAACAGAAAAACATGAACCGGCATAGGAATCACATATCTTAAAGGCCTAGTGTATTGTGTTGATTATTTTGTGTTACATATGTATTGATGTGTAGGTCTGACGTTCGCGAGGGCGTCCATGACAGGAGGGAGAAGTCCAGTTGATTATCTGAAAGCATGGAACACTGCTTTATATTTGAGCCCAGACGAAGACTATGTGAAAGAGGCTCTTGATAATGGTGAGACATTGTAAGATATTTGAATGTAAAACTGTGTTCATGTTTACATTTGTTACATACAGATCATTTCAAATTCAGGAATAGCAGCAGCAGTTGTCAAGAATCAGATTATCACGCCACCAACCGAACAATTGAGAATTGTATTCGACGGTGATGCAGTGTTGTTCTCGGACGATACTGAACGATTTTTTCAAGCAGAAGAAACTACATTTACAGAATATGAAAAGGAACATGAGAATGGTCCGGTGAGAGAGGTAAAACTGTTTCTTTGCATACATGATGTACAATGTGGGGGGGGGGGGGTTAGATTTTTATATACACAGTGCATCAAAGAAACTTTAGATATTTATATTTGTCACAACAAAAGGACAAGTCTTACGTCATACAAAAATAACATTGTGCCCTTTAACAAAATTATGAAACATACGTTTTCTGCGCGTTTTCTTTTATAACAGGGACCTTTGAAAAACTTTGCAGTAACTCTTGGTCGAATGCAGAATATTCTACCATCAATTTCTTCTATTGACAACCCAATTCGTACGTATTTACTTACATCTCGTGATATGTACGGAGCAGGAAAGCGGGCACTTGGTACTCTGACGTCATGGGGATTGCATATCAACGAAACAATATTCATCTCAGGCGATCCAAAAGATGTATTCTTGAAAAATATTACACCCCATCTGTTATTTGATGACAGGAAATGCTTCTGTGGAAATTATGAAGGAGCAGGAACATCACGCCTCCCCTTACGTCGTCACTCAATTTGAACCATGACTATGAAGCAACATACTTGAATATACTGCAGTTTTTAAATTTATTGTCTCAGTTACTTCTAGCAAAATATTGGAATACATACAAAAAACAAACATTTAATTTACATGTGAAAGACATACTTGGAAGAATATGTTTTGTTTTCTTATACTGAACAAGTTTATTTTGGTGGTACTTGTCTTAGTGATAAGCACATTTTGGATGGAGTGGTTGGCTACTTTAAATGCTGTTCATATCAACGTCATGGCATACACAGAATACATGTTTTCAAGGGTCGAGTAATTTGAAATGCATGTATCCTGGTGTTTAATCATTTGAAGTATATTCATATCTCTTCAATATATTAATTCTTGTATTTTTCTGTAGAATGTATGTGGTTTGTGCATGTTTTATGTGACTAGTTTTATGTCCACTGTAGCCTACCCGATGTTGGTCATTGTCAACGCTTTCTTATCATCACTACAATTAATTTACACTCCAAATCCAAACAGCGCAGTTAGCCGAGTACATACACACATAAATGTAACTATACGATGGTTATAGCTTTGAAATAGTTATGTTTGTATATGCTTGACAAATACAGATATACAGCAGCATAACTAAACATTCTTATTACCTAACCTGAACCATAATTTTATACGAATGTTCATGTAAGTTCATGGTTCTAACACGCACGCTTATTCACACGTTAGATTACAATTTAAGAATCTCATAACAGTTTTTACATTAGCTTTTCACGTTTGGCATAATTGAATATCGAAGTTATCTGGGAGGCGATTACAGGTTAGGTATATTACGATCGTCAGCTTTTCAAGTTCCAGGCTATTGACACTGTTGCTGTATGAGAGTTGGTTACAGGCAGGTTAAGCCGGTCACACATGTTAGGTATGATATAAAACAGTCAAACTAAAGATTGATCATTATTGTTGTTGTTGAAATGGTGCCTTTTTATCAGTATTATGTAAACACTACATGAAACTAGATAATATCAATGAACTAATACAGAAGTGTATTCGAACATACTGTTCCACACACTTTACTTCAATTTAGTAAAATTGAATTTAAAACACTAAATACTGACCTTCTGACCAAGCCATCTGAATTAATAGCAAAGCTACCAACATGACAGCTATTTCAATGTGCATCACAACCTTTTTCGTAGACTAGACAGTCGCGACACTATGTTCGTTAACGAAATAATGCGATGTCCACTAAGTTTGTCTATTTAGTACAGGAGTGCCAAGTATAGGAGTGGCGACCCTTGCCAGCCGTATTATGTACACTGAGGACACTTTTACTCGACTTGTTTCTCTTGTTCATTGTTCTATATATCAAGTACATCGTTCGATTTTTTTTTCTGTGGCAGGTCTGGTTCTGTTTGTACATAATGTCACATTGATACCCAGTGTTCCCTGTGTGTTGTGATAGCTGGTTTATGTGATGTGTTCGCACCATCATTGTGGTACGACCAGGTTTGTTGTTGTAACTGTGACTGGCGTTTTGTTGAAGTGCTTTACTGGCTATTAGGATCGCTGCTCGTGGTTTTTAAGACTGCCGATCAACGTGGGCGATACATATGACAAGATCACATTATTGCTTTACCTCATTCTTTACTTCTTCACAGAAAGTTCGTTATATGACAAAAAATCGCGTCACGTCAACAGAACGTCGGTACCCGGATGTCCTCGTGGGTTTCCTATATGTTTCCCACTATAATTATAGAAAGAATACTGAAACAGCGGCCAGAACTATAATCACTCTATGCTATGTAAAAAATGCGTTCACAAATGTGTCTAGAAATTGCTGTTGTCTGTACATGTGAAACATAAATCAATAGTGACCAAACAACCACGGCAGTTGTCATAAATCGTTTAGTATACTTGGTAAAAAACAGAATATGTCAAGAAGGGGCGGCATAATTAAACATTTGGTTGAACAATTTAAAACATTTTCACACCTGGTTGACAAGAAGCTTTAGAAATCGTTTGATTAATGTTTGCAAATGTTAAAACTGAGTAATATGATTCATCGTTATACATTATTGTGGTGATTTATTGAGAACTAAATGTAACACAATAAAATGATTTAAACCGACGTGTATTTTTGGGAGCAATGGAACAAAACATCCATTTGTCAATATTAGTTAATTATATATACAATGCAATCATTATTGTTAACATTTCTTGTTTCACAAATAACACCTAACACCCAGTTTTTTAACATACAATTTTGTTTGTTAAAGTTTTAACAAGCTCTAAAAGTAGCCTGCTTATTAAATAAAGTATACGGCTACTTTAAGTAATGATGGTCTGAGTTTTCCATACATTTTTCAGTACATTATACGTGTAAAAGAACATAAACCATAATAGTAGATTAGTATTTAGAATTCATGTAACAAAGCAATGTACCCGAACAAGATAATTATAGAGCATTGATATGTAATTCAGTCTGGTTCCAACATTCCGACTTTGTTTGTAAGTTATTTCAGTATTCTGGTCATAAACATTTATTGACGATACAGTTCTAATCTCGGAGAAAGACTCTTATCATAGGGCTTTTTGTATCTCTCTCCATGATTGGCCAGTTCTTTCTGTGTCATCTCATGTATTCTCTAAACACTGCCTCAAATACATTACACACTCATTGGTACATTGAACCTCTGATTCTGAGATTTCAGAGGTCTATAATTTTATTATTTTAAACCGACAATACCTTTGGTTTTAACAATTTTTTGTTTAAATATAATCACATATATATGACCCAATCTTACCGAAATATTGTTTTAATCGCAATTGCACAGACGATGCGAAAATAGGTGATTTTCCGTACAATTGCGAGATCTCGCGAGATGCATGAAAGACGCGCGTCGAACGTCTGCGCAAAAATCGAACGATTTGATTTTGAACTAGAATTTCTTTATTTCGTAGCTTACATTGACCGGCCGATGTTCGACAGAGGAATATTGCTTCCGAATACCCTTACTTAATCGAAATTGCCTATCATCAAATGTGGACAGCACATTATTAAGCATGGAAATGTCCCCGAAATACTTTCGCGTTTGTCGAATCCCACGCGATGTTTGACGCGACTACGACGCTATGACCTTTGTTTGTCCTGTTTTTACGTTCGATTTCACGCATAACGCGTGATTCTCGCAGTGAACGGAAAATATTGAAAGACGGATAGTCGCCATTTTGTTGAAATCGGTGACGTAGGGACAACAGAAAATTATGATGCACGACGCATACTATTTGGGAAATGAGAGACCATCAGATGCCTCTCACGAAGGCGACGTATTTGACATTTCGCCAAAGACCAAAGTAATGAGGTTCGCTTGACAAAACCGAATTTCAATAGATGGCATCTTCTGGAGATCTGTGTGTGTGTGTATTTACATTACTAATGTTTATAATAAATTTAATATAACTGTACTATTCCTAAGCCTTAACAACCCGCAAACATGTCTATGTTAAGTCACACTATGGTGTTATTTCCATATTGTTGCATTTGTATTTAATTTAACTGCAATTAAATTGAAACCTTATATAGAGTCGCGTTTTAAGCTAAAAATGACACAACTATATTAAAAGTTTATAAAATGGAGTCCCCGGAACATATATCAATACATGTTTTGTGCAAGTGTGTTTGTGTATTCCACTGATTCTTGAAACCTACTGATTGGATTTTGATGAAACTTGTTACATAGATACTCTCGGCAATTGTTCAGATTTGATCAGGGTTACAGTTGATTCTGCTAGCCGCAGACATTTAAAAAAAATAAGAAATTGAAAAAAAGCAGAAGTAATCAAAAGTGAACACAGAAATTGTCCTATAGACGATCTAAGACGAGATAAAGAAACCAAGAAATAGAACTTTCTGGAATTCTGAAAACACTGTGACCAGCTCAGATTAGGTGGATTATTCGCAGGTAAAGATCAATCCTAAGAATCTTTGTTATAAAATGTCCCCAAAATAAGCAGCGAAAGCCAAAATCAGGTTCTGAACGACGACCAATTGATCAAGTTTCATATGTTGTTCCATGGCCTCATGAATTGCGGGATCATCATGTATGTTCAGCACAACAGAGGTGCAATTTATTAACCTCAGTCTGCCTGCACTCATTATTATTTCAATGAAGAACCACAGGCAATCCGGAGCCAATCGCAACATAGAACTGTCGCATTTAACAGAAATTGATACATGTCAGTGGGTCAGACAATTTCACAGCAAAATCTTAACTGGTATTGAGCGTGGTCAACTAACATGGGACTCATAACTCATTATGTCATAACAAAAACCGCAATATCTCAATATCGAGATCAACAACTTCCACAACATGCACTTTTGAAACTAAACTGATTGCTTCTCTTTTTTGTAGATATCTTTTGAGATAAATAAGTGTTCAATAAATTGTTTAATCACGTGATTAAAACAAGAATATCTCAATATATGTTTATATCATCTGTAATTAATTAAATAACAAAAATGAAAACGTGTTCACATTATTAGACAGATAAATCAGTCTTATTTATATAATGATTCATAGTGTATGAGTTTTAGCCTGAACACTAAATTAGCTTATTGAAATATTTTTCCATTAAAATTATCCCACATTGAGATACGAACAATATATCAATAAATCGAAATTGAGAATAATATGAGAATAATGAGTGAAAGAAGCCATATATAGTCGTACAATTTTGTTATGTGCCAAGTTAGTTATATCTAAAATTACATTTTGGATCATCCAATCTTGTGAATACTGCAGTCTAATAACTGTATTGATAGATCTAAAATTACTTTGTAAACAAGGTCGGCATAGTGGAATTAGACTGAACAACATATCAATGGTCATAGGAATATCTGATATTGGGACATATGCTTATGTAAATTCACAATCGTCATCTGCTGTTATAATTATGGCTCTACTATTACATGTATAATGTACCCAACCATCAAGTATTGAACTATCTCAGCATTCCGCAATGTATTCATT